ACCACCTCCCCCCCACCCCCCCACAGCTTCAGCCGGGGAGACTGGGGCCCTTCCCGCCCCCTTCGACGCTTTCACCGCGGCGCTGCGGGCGCAAAGCGTCTTCGTGGCGCTGGCGCTGAGAGCCCGCTGCCAGCGCCGGGCCCTGGCAAGGCCCAGAGCACCTCTGAGCTGGGGCGCGGTGTGCCTTTTTTTTCTGGATTTGTTGAGAAGAAATCCAAAGGAACGCATATTTTATCTTGGTTTTGGTGTTGATGTTGGTTTATTTTGCGGATATTTAGTGTTGGTTTTGGTTGTGTGGGGCGCATTTTTGTCTACATACCCACGTGGACTCCCCACATGAACTTCAACCTGTAGGAAAAGCACGACAAGCAAGCAGCATCTAAAATTTATAGTGCTTTCTAAAGTAAGGGACCCTGCACATGCTTTGGTGTTCAACTGGCATCTCTGAAACATCGTTCAGTTCAGGAACCTTTTTGTTTTGATGATTTGAAGGGGGAACAGGTGAACATGCACAAACTAGCTCTTCTGCATGAACACCATGTTTGGACACCAACGGAAACAGGACCGGCGGGACCCCTTGGATATTTCTCTAAATAGAGTGGCAGTGATCGGCCAGGTCTCAGGGGCCGGGAGGACAAGCACATCCCACTCTTCAGAACCAGAGTCACAGCTAAAGCTTTTTGGAGACAAAGACACTCCCAAGCAGTTTGGACTGTGTCTGATTGCCATCGGCTCCGTTCAGAACCAAGTGGGGGCCAACCTGGAAACAACTCTTCAGACACCTTTGTAAAATGATCCAGAGTCAAACTCTCCGCCCGGAACGGGAATGTCCTGGGATTGTTGTTCTCTCTCTTACGGGTCTTCATTGCGACGAGACCACGCAGTCACATTGGGCTCCGAGCTCGTTTGACCCCCTCAGCAAAATCGACGGGTAAAAGTCAGTCCCTTGCTGTGAGTTCTCCCCCAAGCATTTCAATCGACCAAAAAGGACCGGCCGTTGATCCAAAAGGAACTCAAAAAAGACCCGACCACCAACCCAAATCAAACTGACCAGGGTTGATTCTCATCTAAGAGTGTCTCCTTTTTTCCGAAGCACCCACAAAACCCTGAGCTTCGGCTCTACGAACACGGTTATGAAGCTTTGCAAAGGCCTTGCTACCCTATGAAGCCAGGCAGAACCTACGAAACTGGCCACTTGTTGGTCCGGGAATCAGGGAATGCCCCCCCAATGAACCATGCCTTGTGGCTTCCTTTAAGGGGATTCCTCACAGTGTCCCAAGCCCCATTCCCTCAGAATCAGCAAGAATGGCTGACATACTGTCCCTATATCCTATGGACCTGTGGGGAAAGGGACACTCTTTTCGGCTATGGGAAGCCTACGAAACCGGGTTTCCGCACGCCTTCTCCAAGCCTGTCCGAAGCTCCAAGCTCGCTTTACATGGAACAAAGTGCCCAAAGAGTCCTGAAAAAGCTGCCATACTGTGGATGGACGAAACCCTGCACCACCTAAGAAACCATGAGAAACCACAGTTTGTTTGTATTTACAGGGAACCAGACCATTCCAGGGCTTCTTGGGTGCAGACATTCGTCCATCCACAGCTTGGAGGCGATGCCCCTTCTCTCCACGCTTACGGCTTTGGCTTCGGCGCCACGTTGGCGTGGATCGTGGCGACCTCCAGCTGGGCCTGCCGCATCCGCTGCAGCGTGTCTTCCGCAGCCGCCAGCTGGCCCTCCTCGGGGGACCAAGTTGATTCAACTCGAGGTTTGCTTGGCTTGGACCCATATCTGGTTTTGGGTCAAAAATAACCCTCGCAAATGGGCACATTATGGACTAAGATGTGCGGTCCTCTGGTGGTTTAATTTGACCCATACCCATATTTGGCTTTGGGGTCAATACTTCAATAAGTGGACCAAGTTTGTTTGGTTTTTGGACCTATATGTGTACCCCAAAAAGGAGTGAAAGACTTGATTTGACTCACCAGTCTGACAGTGGACAAGGCGCCGTCATCAGGTTCTGGGGTCAGTTTCGTAATTATATTTGTTAAATTGCCTATCTTATTTTATCTATCTACATTACCTTGCCTTACTTATTATAAATATTTATTAAAAATAATATATACTGATTTAATTATAAACTATAGTAATAAATATATTAATATTTCTTTATATATAATATTAAATGTATCATAAATTGTTTATAATTTAGAAACAGGGGGAGGGAGAAAGAGGGCGCAGAGAGTGTTTTCTTCAAAGGTAACGAATTCCTTGCAAACATGGGAGCCCATTAATCAAAGGGAGTTTGATTCATCATGGGTCCCAGTGCAGGGCCGCTTCAGATGGACCTTCCTTTCATCCTAGAAAAGGCGGTAAACAACTACACCGCTTGGCCACGTTCCACAAAGACGGCACTTGTTTGGACTGCAAAACGCTGGATGTCATCATGCTGCTGCCAACCTTGCCCACACTCCATGAACTACTGGCTCATCAGAATCCATCAGCACAGTTAGAGCAATCTGGAAGTCGCACGAATTGTTATACTGAAGTACTGTGCCTGCCAGGAAGCCTGTACGGGGGCTGCCCCCCCCCCAACCCCCCCGCTGATTTTCAGAATGTTTACAGAGCTTTACGCGCCCTTTGTTGAATCATCACTTCTTCGATCATCATCCCCCTACTGCACCAATCATCCAGCTTTGGAGGCCCCCCCCCTCTCTCCGAGTGTGTGAGCCCGAAACCCGACTCGCCCGTCCTTGGTGAGCTTCACCAAGAACGCAGTGGCCAGCTTGGGGCTCGATTGCCAGCGTGCCTGAGAGAGCAACCGGCAATACTTGGACATGTCTCCGCTTGGCCCAACGAGCCGTTTTAACAAAGACAAGCTTGGGCCAAATGCAAACACGCTTCATCGCAGACGTTCAGCATTTGCAGCGACGCCATGCTCAGCGGCGGCGCAGTGCGACATGGCGCAACTGGAGCGGCAAAACGGTGCGAGGCGGCTTTGAGCTGTGCAAACGTCTCGCATGCTCGCGGGAAGGTGTCCATGCTGAGCGAGCGCATCCAGCCCCAGCTGTCCTGAAGCACGCCGAGGGCACTGCCATGAATCTACATTGGCGCGTGCGTGCGTGCGTGTGCGTGCGTTTTGAGAATAGCCTTCTTGCGTGTTGGTATTGTAGGAAAACCAACAGAACAAGAACACCAAGATATTGAGGATCCACTTATTTTCACACGCTCGCACCCACACAGACACACACACACACAGACACAGACACAGACACAGACACAGACACAGACACAGACAGACACAGACACACAGACACACAGACACACAGACACACAGACACACAGACACACAGACACACAGACACACAGACACACAGACACACAGACACACAGACACACAGACACACAGACACAGACACACAGACACACAGACACACAGACACACAGACACACAGACACACAGACACACAGACACACAGACACACAGACACACAGACACACAGACACGCAGACACGCAGACACGCAGACACGCAGACACACAGACACACAGACACACAGACACAGAGACACAGAGACACACAGACACACAGACACAGACACAGAGACACAGACACAGACACAGACACAGACACAGACACAGACACAGACACAGACACAGACACAGACACACAGACACACACACACACACAGAGAGAGAGAGAGAGGCTCGCCCGCTGCGTCGCCCGCCCGCCAGCCCGCACGACGCACGTGAACCTGTTAACCTGTTTGCATCGGCCCAAGTGACACTGGATCGTGGACCACGCATTTCCTGTACGAGAGGTCAAGTCTCCAAATGTTCACGGCGGCAGCTAGCGGCATAAAACGTGGATATAGATAATCATACTTCTGGTTGCCTCTCATTTCCTTATTTGGCTATGATTTGGGGCTGCCAGTGTAAGCAGCATAAGCTCGCAAACTGGGAACTTGCAGCTTTCAAATCGCCTGCAAAACATGCTAGTCTCTCCGAGGTTCCCAATGGCTACCTTGCTGATTGAGGTAGAGAGTCTTGTCAATCTTCTGCTGACTGGGTGCGAGTGCTCATTGGCATGGTTGTGAGCTCGTAGTCGCTTGCTTGCCTAAGAAGCATCAAACTCAAAGCGTGCAGTGCCTTTGCTCCTGCGACCAATCTGCAAGACGGACGTAAGGCTGGGATGGCTCCGGTCCGCAGGATGCAAGAAAACCAGTGCAGGCCAAAGGCGCAGCTTACCCGCGGCCATGCCGCAGTACTTGATGATATGGGTGATGTTGCTTCGGCACACACCTGGGCTGGGCTCCTACAAAGCTACTTGGCCAGATCATTCTCCAAATCAGATGCACATTGTAAAAATGATGTTCAAAAGTTCAACACGCGCACTTCCACGGAGCCCGAACAGCTAAAAGCCTACAGGCCAAGCCTCAAACTTAGGAGGCAAAGCCTCCCCAAGCATCTCCAATGTCAAAATCTCAGCTACAAATTGGCCAAAAGGATTGATGTTTAAAACCCACCCTTAGAGGGAAAACTTAGTAGCCCTGCCAATGAGGGCCCAACAAGAAAGCCGGGCCAGGTGTGCCTCGTGAAAGGCGGTCTAGTCTGGGGACAAGAGCGGAGCACCGCTCACGGAAAGAGTATGCAGGAGCAGTCCCTCTCAACTTCCATGGAAGCCAAGTCACCTGACGCCAGAGTTGGTCAGGCCCCCATCGTAGTCCCGTGCCAAAACGGGCAGAGGGAAAATCAGTGCCCTACTCCTTCGACTCGCACGCCTTGAAAGGCCAAAGAGTCCCCACCACGAAGTTCGCGGCATCCAGCCCGTAGCAGCTTCCTGAATGGCATGGCTCGGGATAATGCCAGCTCTCCTGGAATAATTGGTAGAGTCAATGCGTTGCTCATCAGTCAAACTGAGATCTGTTGCCAATCCAAACTGGCTTCCAAACAGCATGCCTCAACCTACCCCATTTTAATTGAAATCCCGGTCCTTTGAGAAACCCTCACGGGTGTGCCTTCACATTGAGGACCCAACAAAAAGCTGTTGATACGAATGGTTCCTTTTGGTATCCCCTTCCCAGTCCCATCGACGTCCACCGTGCCGCCTTCGGTGTCGTTGTCACTCAAGAGGCGGCCTCCGTGTCGAAACGCGGACCGCATCTATGGACCGTTTTTCAGGATACCGAAGCGGGCTGGGCGGAAAACCAAACGGAAAACCCATTTTCTTGGGATCCATTCCTTTCTATGACACCCTATTTGGGTGGGTGTCCCTCTGAGTGTTTGACAGAGGCACTCACCCAGCCTTGCCAAAGGCAAAGTTTCGGGCCGCGGAAGCCTCAAGACGCGCTCGAATTTGGCACAAAGACTCTGCACACATCTCCAGTGAAGCAAAACTACAAACAGGCTCAAAGACAAAACCAAGGGCAGACACTCTGAACTCCGTGGGTGTGTGCTTTAATAGGGAGGCTCCAAAAATGGCATGGTGGTCCTTTGGGTTTCCGTATAAACCAACCTTCCAAAACGTTACCCGGCATGCGACCCCAAACACAGTAAAGAGAAAACATAGGATCACGCATCCAAAGGCTGTCAGCAAATGCCCCACAAACCTCAAGTGTGCCTCTGGGGGCAATACAACGCGAAGCCGAAGCAAAAACAGGCCAGCCAGGTTCACTTCGGGTTCGGCTTGCGTTGCTGTGAACTAAAAGGGAGGCTGAAGCGGAGCATGACCAGCTTTTCCCAATTGCATTCTCAAAGGTACAATTGCCATGTTTCGACAACAGCCAACAAAAGTTTCCATGTGGGCTCCTAAAATACAATTTGGAAACAGCAAGCTTCTTTTGCATGTTCGCAAAGCTTTGCGGGATTAAATGCTCCAATTGGATATTTTCTCAGGTTCACAAACAAGGTTAGGAGCTTCCGAACCCTTCGCAACTGCGAGAGCAAAGCACAGTCAAAGTCAACAAAAAAGTGTTGTACGCTAAAAAAAAAATGCCTGGCTATTTGAGCGATTCCTCAAATGACTGACACCCACGGAAAGCCCGCTTGAATATTAGCGCTGAATTTGGCTAGTATGGCGCTTAAGTTGTCCTCATATTTCAGGCATGGCATATTCTATGCAGCCACTGGCCCCAGTCAACAGTTGCAATCCTGCCATCTCACTAAAATCACTTCCCCAACCTTGTCTGCCCGGTCTTCCCTCGTGTGCTCTTTTAACCCCACTCAGCATTGAATTCACCTCTCGTGGGCTGACTTTGACCCACACATCCGTCGCCCAAAAGAATCATCAGGTCTCATCCCAGCTCTTGAGGAACTCCTCCGTCGACTCATCCTCGCTCTCGGACTCCTGGGACTCCTCGCCGGAGACCAGCCCAGCTTTCACCAAGGCGTACTCCGCAAGCGCCATGATGTTGTAGGAGACGATGTAGAGGCACCAGTTGCTGGGGGGAGAATCGGTGATGCTCATCGACAAGAAGCAGCACGCCAAGCCCCAGGCACACGCGAAGACTGCTTTCAACAAGGGCCTCATGGCTTTCAGCACTGGCGTTGAGATATATGCACACCACAATACCATCTGCCAGGCCTCGAAGCTGGTGTGTGTCACTTCGAAGAACTTCCTCAGGGCAAAAACCTGGTCAGGAGCGCTATTTCCTCGGTTGCATGTGGCAGTCCAACCTTGGACTCCTCGATTTGAGGGTGGGATTCCCTATGATCGACAGAAATGACTTACACTTTCAAGCGCAACATGTTCCGGTTCCTTGACTGTCTCAGGGAGGACACAAAAAATAGAGATAAATGTCAACTCCTCCCAGCGTCTGGCATACCACACCAAATAGCCCATTGGAGAGATGTGGGTGCACAGGACTTCACAAAAGAGCCATGCGTTGGGATATCTGTCCTCAGCCGGCAAATCTGTTCTGACTCGCTGCCGTGTGTCCAACCCCAAAACCCTACGGCGCCTAGTGGTTCTTACATCTCTCATTGCTGTAACTGCTGCCAAGCATCACCAAAGAACAAATACTTGAAGCAAAGTCCTCCAAACCACAGCAACGGTGGGGCTGCGTAGCACATTGGCAAGGCCCGCTGCGGAAGAAAGAGACGTGCTGAGAAGAAGGGGCCCAAAGGCTGCAAGATCAAGGCCAAGGGCACGAGGATCTGTGTCCCAAAGCGGTTTGCACCACCTACCCGACAGGACTCCACCAGATCTCCGTGATACCACAAGAATGCCTCGGCCCATTGCATACTACACACACCCAGCAAGCATCCGCCATAGAAGCGGAAACGCGCCAGCTGCCATCTTTGCAAGAAAAAGATGGAGACCACAAGGCTGAAAATGGAGGTGCCGAGGCTCACCTCCAAACTCCAGCACATGGCGACTGCCTTCAATCTGAAAGAGACGCTTTGCTACTTTGATACATCTCCTGTTTGCCCGGGTGCTGGAAACCCCAAGTTCAGTCGTCCGTCCCTTGAAATTTGGGGCGCGAATGTTGATGAGTCCCGGACCCTTTGCTGGACGTCGTGTTAGGAGGTGATTTATGTCCACCTGAGGTGGTTCCCTACTAAAATCTATTGCAATCTCAGCAGAGCTCTGCAAACAGTCCGGGCCTGCCTTGGCAAGTCTGACTTGAACACGGCAGCGGAAGAAATATATATATATATATATATATAATGTATATATATATATACCGGGAAAGGATCTATCATGCTTCCAAGCAAATCAGTGGGGACTTGAACAAGTCAGCCTTTAACTTCACACTTAAAACGATTCATTGCAATCTCTGCGCCCCAGCTTTCACGTTGTCAACAAGCACAACCACAGTAGCTGCACCACAACCCCTCACGCTGAACTGATACGTGCCCAACCAACGCAGCCGCGAGATCCAGCTGGGCCTTTGCATGCGTATTGTTCGTGAGCGCAGCACCCATCGTGGCCACATAGCTACACAGGGGCGGGAAAGTTTGCCAGCAGGCAGTAAATAAAGTATTGCGTAAAGCAGACAGGCCACACCAAACGCTATTGGGGTAAGAGGAGACGGGGCCGCCCCAGCGGCGTGGCTTTAACTTTTGACCCTCAGCGCGGCACGACTGTGTTTCCAAGATAGGACAGGGCTTTAAGATTGCGTGGCATCAACTTCTTGTCTTGCGCAGCAGAGTCTAGCACCAGGCCTGCAAGTGGCTGTTCGCGGTCCGGTTGGCCAAGATTTCTGCGTTTGCACGCGGCCCAACAATGCGCCGCTTAGCAGGGCTTCTGAGTGGGTTCGCCGATGTTCATTTGAAATCGCTACGAGTCTCTCTGTTGTCAGTCACGGTGAAATCTCGGGGGCCCTGTTGAGAAGCTGGAGCAGTGCGGCTCCGTTTTCAACAGTTGGGCGGAGTTGGAAGCAAATGATAGTTTGCAGTGGTTGTCTCCTGCTGCCTTCAAGGAACGCGTTCATTCAGACATTCAAATACTGGGTGACATGAATATTCTAGGGGAGCGAATGAGAAGTGTGAATTCAAAATGGGTCTGTCTTTTTTGAGGCTACCGAGTGTTTGTGGTTTGTTAAGGAGAAACCAAAAAACAAAACCAACATTTTTGGGGTCCCCTAGAAAGACACGCCCAAAGCCCTCCACCATCATCTCGCGCTTGCGCCCTTGGCCTTCCGACGTAAAAGGAAGAGGACATCCAGCCCAGCTCCTTTGCGACTTGCGCGGCGAATCCAAATGAGCGACAATCAAAAACCGATTCGGTATTTAAATGGTCAACCCAGAACCATGCTTCAAGAACTAAGAAGGCACGTATCCGCAACTATTTATGGCTGGGATTGTCCCTGACTAACCTTGATTGTGGCTCAAATGCTCGGATTGCCATCTCAGACGTACATGGGTGTGTCTTTTTGCTAGGGCCCCCCCCATGTACACTCTCCCGTTCTCATTGTAAGTGAATATGTATTGCTGTGTTTCTTACCTGTTTTCCAATCATGTCATAGGATTCAATGTTGTGCCAAGAACAATCCATCCTTTCCAGATTCTGTTCAATCCCCCAAAATCAAAAAGGCAGGTTTGTTTGCTTCTTGTTTTCTTTCCTTGTTTGGGGGGCATGTATATATATAATGTATTTATATATATATATATATATTATGCATGCGTACAAATGTAACAATGTAATTATTCTCTGGGTGCTGTCTCACGTCAAAAACTGGAGACGGCTTAAGATGGGTGAGGGATTTCAATATCCATATTGGTGTCCTTTAACCCCCCCCCCCCCCCGTGGTATCCGTTAACCCCACCCCAAAAAATGGAAATAAAATAAAAACGAAAATCAAAAAGAAAAAAATAAAGTACCCCAATGAATCATGTCTTGTTTTTTTGTCTTGACTGACTGCAAGCCAAGCTGCAGGAATTCTTCGGCAGATCCGCAAGGCGGAAATCCTCAGCTGCAGAGAGTTCCCCGAATTCCCTGAGAACCTGCAGCTGTGCATGTATTAGCTCGGCTTAGCGCCTTGCTGAAAGGCGAAGGCCCATTTGAGACGACAAGCCTCGCTACCGGGGGGCTTGGGGCTTCCTAAAATTTGCACCAACACAAGAACTGCACCCTGAGCTTTGCAGGGCAGAGCCAAAATAGCTGACTGCAAGCTGGCGCTTGCATGGAGCATGTGCATGGGAAAACAAGCACCCAATGCACATCCCCCTCTCCCCCGCATTCACCCGACGGCATTCACTGCGCGTTTTGATTCTCCATGCCAGTGCCGCTCGAGCTTGACGAGCCTCATGGCCAAGCCTCGGCTGCGGAGCGCCCCTCGCACTCCGAGCCCAGTGGGTTGTTGTTTTCCTTTTTTCTATTTTCCTGTTTTTTCCCCCGCTGAGCGGCAGCACCCGTCAAGGCGACCAAATCCTCCCACAGCTTCTCACACTCCGACTGGCTGCCGCCTCCTGGCCGTGAGAGGGCTCACAACCAACCAGTCGCTCGCGTTGCGCGAGCGCGAGCGCAGGTGTCCTCCACAGCCCCAGCTGATCCCAGTACTCTGGCCATACTTCTCCGCTGTCAGCATCGTGAATGAAGCGGTTGCACGAGTGACCTCAGTTCTGTCAAGTCTCCCACACCCCCAGGTCAGAACTTGTGGGTGCACATCTTGATTTATCCGCGGCTACGAAACCGGATGCCCACCACTGGACCAGCCAGCCCTCAGCATCTTGGTGTCAATCCAGGATGAGGTGGGGTCCGGGTCCAAGGTATGGATGCACAGCTCCGGCGGAGATCCGTAGCGCCGAGACATCCTTGGCTGACTTGGAACCGGGTGGCTAGGTGAGAAAGGGGGTGATGTTGCCAGTTACTCTACAAAATCCACTTCAAGTCCCAAAGCCACCAATCCAAACCACCAAAGGGCTACCTGAAACAAGGAACACAAGAAAGCACCTGCTTGGGGATTGTACTCGTGTGTAGGCTTACAGTCCCAAAGCTAGATTTGATATGCTTCACCGTCGCTTCTGGACAAGGTCGTCATTTCCGTAAGGATCCCCAAAAAAACACTCTGACTGGGAAGATCAGGCCGTCAACAACCACTACTCCATTTGATTGCAAAGCTGGGCTTATCATTGTCATTTCCTCTTTGGATGTGTGTGTGTGTGTATATATGGGTGGGTGTATCCTGCAAATCGGCGTACGGAGGAACTGGAATGGATAAGAGCGAGAGAATGGCATGTCTTCTTGCTTCTCCAAACCAGTCACTAGTCTCTAAGCCAGAAGGCGAAATCAAACGTCCGCACTGAGCCCGAGTCTTGTTAGCCGCAGACTCGCAATGCCTGATGCTGCTCTGCAGACAAGTCTCTCCTTTGCAATCCTTGGGGGCTGCCAAGTTCTGATGCTCCAAATTCGACTGGCATGGAACATTGCAAAGCCTGATCTGGTTGTAGCCAAGCGGCATGAGGTCACAGAGTTTGCTCAGGCTATATGCATTGTGAGCGGAATAGCCTTCAAGCAGAACGATACGTGCATATTCAAAGGAATCTGCAATCAAACTCATCACTCAAAGTCAACTGCTACGCTGTGCTTGTATCTTGTCACACCAATGGTTCATGAGTTGTGCTTGCATGTTGGGCAGCTGGCTGTGCTCCAGCTGCAAATCCTTTAGGCCCTTCTGGTAGCCAGCCGACATGGAGGACGTAATAATCAAGCGCCCTGGCCAGTTGCAAAGCCATCCACATGTCTATGAAAACCGACGCCCAGTCCCAACAAGACTGCGATTGCACTTGAAGCAAGCCAAGCCCGCACCAGAACCAGAAGCTTTCACGTTTTCCAGCAGCAGCGAGCTCAGGAGGAAGGGCGCCAGGACGTTCCTTGCGATGTGTGTATCATGAGAAGAGGACGTGGGCAAAAATTCACGAGTCCGCTGGTTTCCCATGTCCCTCCCAAATGGATTGACCGAACCTCGACTCATCCGACATGCCGTTCTCAGGCCTACCTCTCCGAGAAGCACTGCGAGGCTATACTCGTTGCCCTCCTTGGTGACCACACCTGGCAGGATCGAGCCTCTAGCTTCTCTCGGCTGACAGCCAGCACACCGGGCTGCGGTCAAGTGGCGGTTGCCCGTGTAGTCGCCGTCGAAGGTTCCGGCATTGTTCAGAAGTCCCTGCAAGACTGGGAACCTTCAGCCGGCACTGCCTCTTTGAGAGAGGTCCCTGCAAGACTCGGAACCTTCAGCCACTGCCTGTGTTTTTTGCCAGAGTTGCGAGCCGAGCCACTTGAGCTTCACCTCTTCGGCCAACTTCCGCACGTCCGACATCAAGCTCAGGTCCGCCACGAAGCCTCGTCTTTGCAGAAACCAAAAGACGGTACGGCTGCCCCTACCATTTTAGGGCCCGAGTCGAACCTAAGATGTCCGTTGCCGGACGCCTTTGGCTTTGCCAACCACGATGACTTGCAACATCTGCCAACTCTCAGACCTTGATCCCGAATTTCACGCCCTGAGACTTCAAATTATGTGCCAGACCCACAGAGTTTCACCAAGGTTGGTTGAGTCTGTATGTCGCCGTGAGTACGTAATTCGGCCCTCGTTCGTACGCAAACAGATGTTCACAAACCATCCCCAGGATGATCATCGGTTGTTGTTGCTGAAGTCATTTTGAAGGAATTGCAATTGCATTGCATTGCAACTCGTTCGTGCGGATGCGACCTCTTGCAAGTCCCGTATTCAGCGCTGTGCTGGTCCTGGGCTGTGTTCTTCCCATGGGCATTGATTTCTCTGAAAGCGGTCTGTTGAGAGAGGGAATACACCGGGGAAACAATAGATGGAACAAATCTCTTTATGTGGGTAAGTACAAGAGATGCCTAAACCTCGAGGAGTTGCCCCTTCTTTCACCCAACCAATCCGGTGTCGGTCTCCTGGCGCGTGCGCGCGCGCTCGCGCTCGCATGCGCCTTGGACGTCCGCCTCAGCGCTCAGCGACTTCAGCCGTCGCACCGTGTCCGCAACGCGGCGCTCGCTGCGGCCGTGCACCAAAACACCGCTGCCCCGCTTCGCCAGGAGCTCCGCCGTGTACCGGCCGATGCCTCAGGCACCAAAACGGCAGCTCCACTCCCGAGAAAAACGGACGACGAATCCGAGCTGCCGTCAGTGGCACCAGTGACCTCGTTTCGAATGTGAGCGAAAGTTGGTGCCGTCTCTCCATTGCGGGATGAGGCTCCAGATACGTGGGAGCTGTCATGGCCCAAAAGCTCGCCTGCCGTACCAAGCACATCCGTGAAAACAAAGACGGAAAACTCCTTCAACAAGCACCAAGTGATTCCTCCAAGTAAAAATCATGGGACTAGCTTTGCTGCCTGGCAAAGATACGGACACGTGCCTCTTTGGGCAGCCACAGCAGAAGAATCGCCAAGAGCGTGAGGCCAGCAGTACGCACCATGGCTCGCTCACGCGGATTCTGTCAAGAATGTGTCGCAAACGACTGATCTGCTTTCAGGTCCAAGCTCTGCGAAACAACAAATGGCATCACAAGGCCGTGTCCAGTGACCGGTTTTCTGTGCAAGAGTTCATTTGTCCAGTGTCTCCAAATAAACTCTCATTGACAACACGCGATAGCTACAACCTGTAGCCTCAGCGCTTTTCCGGCATTCTGAAAGACCCTTGCTGCCCTTGTTTGCCTGGACAGCCTGCCGTGGCAAGCAGGACTCGTCTTCATTGCAAGCGGATGTGCGAACCTCGACACACAAGGGCGAGACAGTGCATCATGGCCGAGATCTTATGGCAGTAATCTTACAGCCACAAGCAACTTGATTCACTTGATTCCTGAGCCCAGCCGTGAAATGGGCTCGAACAGGGGCCTCTGATTCTGACGACCACCTTCCCACGCCTGAAAAAAGGCTTGTAGCTTGCTCGAGATACCAGCTGGCAAAGGGAAACTGTGACGTCAGGGTGGCAGACCACAACTTGAGCGGCTCAAACAAAGTCGGCTGTTTCTGGATCGCTACTTCTTCCGCAGGTCTTTGATGACTCCATCCACCTGACATGGTACAGGCGCTCGGTGGGAGAGTCCGATACACCTCGACTTACATCAACCCCGCTGTCTAAAAGACAAAGAGCCCTCTCAAACGATTCATTCTGCGAGACACGCTATGCACGCAGAACCCCAAGGTTTCCCTGAAACGGATTGTCTCCAAGGACATGCAATCCACAAAAATTGGGGGGGGGGGGGGGGGTTACGAAACCCAGTTTTTCTTTAGAACCAAAAAAAAAGTGTTTCAATAATAACTCAGTTGTTTTTCACTACAAAAACCACCAGCTTGTTTTATCAAGGCCCAACGTGCTGTTGTCCCTTGAAAAAAAAAAAGCGTCGCCTTCAGCGCCACGAGATCAAAGAGCTCCGCGGCCTCCGTGGTCAGCTCCTCTGTCCAACTGCCCGTCTTCCGCCGGTCCCAGCCAAGCTGGTACATGTAGGAGGTGTTCCTCGGAAACACCACCGACAACTGAGGCAATACATTGTACAAGTTGTTTGTTTATGCATTCGATCTATCTATGTATCTATTTATATACTTATGTACAATGATGCGTGTATATATATATATATAGAGATATGGTGCAGCGTCTCTAACCCCTCCCCTCCGCTCCCACCCGAAGTCAGGTCATAGTAGGCACCCCCCTTATGGTCCTGTGGTTGGGTGGTGGTTGGATTGGGCTGGCTTTAGGGTTGGTTTAGGGTTGGATTAGGGCCGGACGCGATCCCATATAAAAAATATTGAAAAAGAAAAACAAAGGTGCTAAAAAGTGAAAACCACATGACAAATTGTGACATACTGGATGCCCGCCGACATGTCGACATGTACCGTCAGCCCCACTAGGCCAATGGCTCATCGCCGCCCAGCTCGAACTTGGTGTCATGGGCGATATTGTAGACCTGGGTCTGTCTTTCTTTGAGGCTCGGTACCCCTTCCTGGAAGGTTTCAAAGAAGGGAAACCACAAAGCGTTTTGGGGGGGGGAGGTCCCCTAAAAACAGACACCGCCACCTCAGCGTCCCTCGTCCAGCCATGGCGCTCGGATCAGACCGCTCAGCTCGTTCCTTGGACCGGAGAAAGCTCGGGTCGTCCCCGTGGTAAAATTGGGTGGTTCCCCCAAGTTCTCCCCAAAGTAGCACATCAACGGTGCTATTATCGGTTGCACAAGTCAAGAAATGGCATGCCTGACACCATATGTCAAGCTTCCCTGCAGACTTGCCCAGCCATTCGCAGTGCAGATCCATATCGTAGTACAGCGCCCGCTTGCCCTTCTTATGGGTGATGGAAGCGCTGACCTGCTCAAAAAAGCGCCTGACATGAGCGGTCGTTCTAGGGCAGCAACAGTGATTGATGCTCGCCGGCATATTGCCTTGGACTGCTCCGCGAGTTTCACCTCAGATCACGCAAGCTTCAAAATTAGGAGGGCGACACGATGGGCACACGCATCACATGCCATTTCACTCTCCGGCTCATGAATCTGGCGTCCAAGACGCGATTTCAAGTGTGGCTCCGCTCTGAGCAGTGTGAGTGACCCCGATCACCTGAGCTTGGCGCAATGCCCTTGTAAGGAAGCCGCATACCTGCTGGGGGGCCCACCGCATCGCGCACGCGGCCCTGGGCCCAGTGAGAAAAGTCCTGCTCTGCCAGGTATTCGCCTGCAATTGAAACTCCATAGCACTCCCCCCATAAACTCCATTGCACTCCATAGCACTCCATAACACTCCATGGCACTCATAGTGGCTGAGAACCATCCAACTGGTGGTTTCCTTTCAGGATACCCCTGGGTTCATTCCCACATTCCCCGAGCACCAGCAAGAAAAAATTGGCTGGTGGCAAAATACTTCCCATAAATTGTGTCCCCAAAAGAAAAAGAGTAAGAAAAGAACATCCGTCTGTTTGACGCACTGCAAGCAAGGTGCTGCTGACCTGGGCGCTGATCCCTCCTGACCAAGGCTCCGGCAAAATTGTCGCAATGCAACTTGCAACTCGCCACTCGCAACTCGCCTTTAACTTGAGCACCTTGTAGCCTCTGCTGCTCTGCTGCCTTCTCCTAAGACAAAAGTCAAGGCGCGTCTGTGTGCGTGCCTACTCTGACCCCCCTCAACAAACCAAATCACATTGACTTTGGGTTCCATGGCTCAAAGGCGTGAGCAGCCCTTGCGATGAAACCCCACTAAGCCAGGCAATAGAACCACGTAACAGGGCCAATGGCAGCAATGGATGATTTTGCGCCAGTCCGGGGTCAGGTGCGCCTTGAAAATTCCTTTTGACATACGGAGTTCTAATGCCTCATGTGAGCGACTCTCATGGTTCCCTCACCAACCTGTACCTTGGCTGCCGAAAACCCCGACTTAGAGCAAACAAAAAAAGTCATCCCTGACCCAGCCAACAAAAAACCAAACCAACAAAAACCGAAGCCAACCAACAAACCAAACCAACAAAAACCGTTCCTTTTGAGCACCAAGGTGTTGTCGGGAGGCGTTCAGCTTCTCGCGCTGCTTGCGCTCCGCCTCCGCCTCGGCCGAAGCCTTCAGCTTCTTCAGGCGCTCCACCTGGCTTTTGATTGGTTTCCTGGTCAAAATCCAAATCGTACCCCTAGTGAACAATCCCCACTAAAATAGGTCCTAAAATGGTACCATTGGTTTCGACCCCCAGCCAGGAAACAAAAGACTCTGTTCTGGGGGGGGTCCGTTTTTTTTTTGACACCCAATCCCGCAGGTCTGGAAAGTCGCGGGTCCACGTCAAGCGCGGAGTCCGAGAGCGCGTTGCCTCCGCTTTGAGGCGATGCTGCTCCGAGCTGGCCGAGTCTTTGGCAAGCCTCCAGGGCATCTTTCGACTGCAAAGGGAGTTCTGTACAAAAAGGTCTCGCTCCAACTGGAATCGTACCCCCAGTAAACATCCCAATCCAACCACTAAAATGGGTTCGAAAATGTGTGGTGAATTCACCTACCCCAAAATGGTACCATTGGTTTTGACCCACGGGCAACTACTCTTAGATTCACCCTTTGACAAGCAGATTCAGTGCAGCCAGAGCCACAGGCAGGCGCGGGACATGTCCTCCACAGCCATTCCTTTTCACCAAGCGAAAAGGAAGGTAAGTGTGTCGAACAAATGCGCAAAGGCTATAAGAAGAGGCATTGATGTCATGCTGTAGTACACATGATTCAAACACAACTCCATTTGAGTCAGTATGATTCTTATCTGCAGCTTGAGGCTCCGAATTCTTTCAGCTCTTCCTCGCATGCAAGCTGCAGGTGGCAAAGGTGTCAAGGCTCCAGCTCACGCCCCGAGCCAAGCGGCACAGGCCAGTGCTCTCCTCAAGCGAGCGCTTGTGCTAAGGACATGTGCATCACGCCTCTGCAAATGTTGCAGTCCACTTTGAGTGTCTGTCCTGTAGTACAGCTTGGACTGGTCGAAGCTGGTGTCGCCTGCCTGCTTGATGGCGACAATTGCCGCCGTCGCCTTCTTCTTCGCCTTACTGGCCAGCTCGTGACACATTCTCGACCCTTGAGCCGCTGGGAGTCGCGCGCGGTCCGGCCATTTCAGCTTCAGCAGGCACAGGGCCTCGGACAAAGGCAAGCAGGCCATGTCGGTTCCAGACATATTCTCCGAAAAGGACACAGGAACTTGTGTGCCGATTCCCTGGCGTTTGTGGTTGGAATGTGAGTTGCAAATAACCGACTACCAAGGACATTTTCACGACCCAATGTTCATTGCATCATTGTCCTCTTCACTTACCCACATCTACCGGGAATTGTGCTAATTACTATACTCTGACTACAACTCATTCCAAACTGAGGAGTAGTGTCAAAAATAGGTAAACCCTTTAGGTGATTGGTTTCCGTTTGGTTTCCTTGGAAGCAACCCAAAACGGTGGCAACCTTGCAAGGAGGCACAACCCCAAACTGGCGGCGCCCCCCTCCGAGTACACGGCAGCATTGCTGAGCAGCGCGGCAACGCTGCTGGCAGGGACCTCGCTCTGCTCTCTCAGCAGATCCAGGCCCCTCTCCTACGCGCCAAGGTCAGTGTATTAAAAACAATCCCTTCCCCCCCCTCCCCCACCCAAAGACTCCCCACCCGAACCCACCCACCCACCCACCCACCCACCCACCCACCCACCCACCCACCCACCCACCCCCACCCACCCCCACCCACCCACCCACCCACCCACCCACCCACACCACACCCACCCACCCACCCACCCACCCACCCACCCACCCACCCACCCACCCACCCACCCACCCACCCACCCACCCACCCACCCGACACCACCCACCCAAGCGCTCCCTTGGGTCGAGGAGCATAGTGCGCCAGCGCCTCCGGCAGCCGCCCAGCCTTGAAATGCTCGTTGCCGCACCTGCGCGCCTCCTCGGCATCCTGCAGGTCCTTGACCAGCAGCATCTGCTCCAGTTGCACCTTGGACTTCGCAAAACCAAACAAAAAAAGGTCGGCGAACAACCGGCTCCTTTCGCGAAAAGTCGCAAACGTTTGGGCCGCCGTTTCCCGCGACTCCTTTCGAGCTTCGCCCCGGCGCCGGCTCCCGGCGCGGCATGTCGCCCACGCTCTCGGCTTTTCGGAGGTCCGACTCGTCCACCACCAGGCCTTGGCCCTGCAGGGCCATGAGCGCCTGCGTTGGGTTAGGTGAGTTCCGGTATTGGGGCCCATGGCGCTGGTCCTGGTTTCCCTGTCAACCAAGCTGAACGGGCACCCTTCAAAAACACATGTGTACACATATTTATATATATATACACAGATCTACATACATCGTAACATGACATAACAGGGCATGACAATACATGACACTACAGTACGGTACATCTTACCTTACATACATACAGGTCCCTACTGTTGACACGTTTGGGTGTGTCTTCTTTCAGTGGTGCAAAAGGCAGTTTCAAGGAAATGCACGCCTCATTTCAAGCCATTTCTCCACCCAAGGCCTGCATGATGCGAGGGTCCCGGTGTGCTGCTTGCGCCACCTTCTGCCCTGCGCCCTCACTGCCCTCACAGGCAAGCCTCGTTCGCCCCGCAAGGAAAGGGCCAAGTACCAGTCAGCGTCCCTCTTCCGGGTGGCTTGGATTTGTGAGCGGCGTTTGCCACTCAGCCTCGAAAAGGAGTTCCAACCCCCTCGCGCCAATCCAACCACCAATTCGAGCTTATTCCAAAAGCAGACCCATCTTAGAGATGACCCTTAGGCAAGGGGGGGGAACAAAGGGCCCCCACCAGACACCACGCAAGACGAGGGGAAGGCTAGGAGAGAGACTTTTGGAGCTTCTCCAACTCCGCGATGAAGCCAGCGTCCGCCATGTGCTTCCGCACATCCTGAGGCCCGACTTTTGAAGGCGGATGCGGCAATCGTTGTGCTGGTTCTTAGACAAGTTTAAACAATAAACCTGGGAATGCACAAAACTGGTTCTTAGAGAAGTCTTTTCCAATAAAACTGGGACTGGACCTAACTGAAGGTGACGGTTTTCAGTTCGGGGAGTCTTTGTGCCAAAGGCTCCGGTTGTTGCGCCAACTTCTCAAAGAGCTGCTCATCTTGAAGAGAGGCCGTCAGGGGGTCTGCTTGCATGGCAGGCTGGTTGCCTCAGCCTTCCACTCTCTCCAACCAACGCCTCTCACCACAGATTGGCTAAACCTTGTGTGTTTGTGTGTGTGTGTGGGCGCACCCCACGGGACTAGTCAACCTTTCTGGCATGCAGCACGGCCAAGTTCCTTTCAGATGATACTTCTTTGCTACGGTTGAACGACCCCCCTGTATGGATTCAGACATCAATTTTGACTCAATCAAGTTGCAAGTATATTGTCCGCGGTGCTGATTGGCGGAAACAGTGTTGCAAGGGTCATACTGTGTTGCCACGCAACGAGCTCGAGCCAAAACACACGCAACTCGATTATTCCCATCTCTTTAGGAGCAGCCTCTGAACCGGACTCATAGTGGGCACGTAGTAGTCCGGAACAAAGCCTAGCATCTTCAACCTGTTAACCTGTTGTCTGTTCCGCTGTCCAGACAATGCAAGACACTTCCGCTTCCAGCAAATGCCTTGTGCAACATTCTTCCTCAGACAGTGAATCAAATCCAAAAATGCCACTGCACACTCGGACTGAACCCTGAGTGCTCAATCTGTTCAATGCCTTTTCTCAGACCGCTCACATCGTCAGCGCATAAGAGAGATATTCCTCCTTAGGTCATTCGAAACGAGTAAAAACCTGAACCACGCCGCATGCGGGTGTTCCTGCCGAGGGGCCATAGAGATCGTACCGGATTGGTCCTGGGCAAGTCTGAGCCAAGCCGACACGGATCTTTGTGTCCGCGTTTCCGCTTCCCCAAGGTCCTTGTCCATCTCCTCAGATGCACAAACACCATGTCTTGCTGGTAATTCTGCTATACTCCATTGGATTTGCCTGATTCAAATAGCCCAAAAGAAACTCCTTTGGCTGCCCTGCACTTTTGGAAAGGCGTGCCCCGACTCCGGAAGCTGCATTTGGGGATGTATTTGTTTAAGGGCAGCCTTTTGGGGTTGGGCAAAAGGGAAACCAAGGAACATTTATCTCAATTTAAAGGGGCGTTCTGGATGTGGCCGACCTCCCCCCCCCCAAAGAAAAAAAAGAGAAAGAGAGAAAGAACAGGAGGCCCCAGCGTTTCTTTTCACGTAAGCATTCACCCGCCAAGCAGCAATGACCATACGGCGCAGCTGCTGTTCATCAAGCTCCCCTCGGACATGAATCCGAAGCTCTTGGAAGTCTATTTGATTGTCCTGCGCAAGATGCAACAAGCTGCGTGCTTCTTGTTCTGCATGACTGAAAATGTATAGTTGAGAGAAAACAACACCGGGGGTTGTCCTTTTGGCTGCCCTTTCAAACCAGCCTAAGGGCGAAAACCCTCACAAGGCACAAACCCAAGGTCTTCAATTTGCCTCCGAGTTCCCGCCACTGTCCTTATTGAGATCGAACTCCATGAAGTCCCGCCTAAGGTGACCGATTCTGGACAGGTCAGATCGCCAGATCGCCAAAGATGACGATTCTGTGCCTTTCTTCGGGCACCAAAGTGGTAGTTGTCCTTTCAGATTCCCGTTAAAACCACAAGGGTACCCCAAAAAATAAGAACAGACCCACATGTCAACCTGCAAATGAGCACCAGAAAACCAAAAAAAAAAACGAAACACGGAAAAACTGTGCTGCGGACTTGTACTCTGCCTGCTCGGCAGCATGAACCCCCAGGCACAGGAGCGCCAGAAGCCATCGCGGCATTGGGAGCTACAGCAAAGCAACTCAGGTTTGGTACAGCTCAGTAACTGACACAGCTGATACGCAAATTATGACTCCTTGAAATTGCATGATAAAAATGCGGCTGAGAATGGTCTGTGTATGGATTGTCTGTCTGGCATTACCACAAGCTAAGCGTAAATCAGCTTCGACCTAGTAAGAGCCAGCAATTCAACACAAACCAAGGACGCGATCATAGCCTCGCGGTCTTCCTGCTAAAACCAGCGATCATCCCATTCTCCAAAAGTCGCAACTTCTCACTTGCTCGCGTGGTCCAAACTCCATTACTTCCAACAGCTTCATCCACACTACAATCATGTGCAATAGCCCTACCACCACCGACAGCCGCCGGCAGCATCCAACTACATGCCACCGCGTCCAACTACATGCTCAAAGCTGCTCCACCTGTCAATGCCTCGACTGGTCCACTGCTCGTCTCATCATGCAGCCTTCGTCTGTCATCGTGCTGATAGGAAACCCCAAACCTTACGATGCAAAGGGGTGACGGAGCACAAACAAATGCCCACGAGCGCCTGATGAAAGAACCTGCGCAGCACTTTGCAGCAACGCGGTCTTCGGGCACAGGCGGCGGCACAATCTTTCTCGGACAACCTGCTCAGCTGCAAAACAGCTCGCCTGACCAACCAATAAACTGCATGTACCTTCGTCCAACCGCCATTCAACCTGCATCAGCTCGACATTCGCCATTCATTTTCCCTTACTTTCGTCAATTTCCACCATGCCAACGCCCAGCGGCTACCCACCAGCAGTTACATCAACTGCCAGCTGAATGCAACTCCTTCCAATTCCACCACGTCCAACTACATGCTCAAACCTGCTCCCTGTCAATGCCTCCACTGCTGGTCTCATCATGCAGCCTTCGTCTGTCATCGTGCTGGCAGGAAACCCCAAACCTTACGATGGAAAGGGGTGACGGAGCACGAACAAATGCCCATCAGCGCCTGATGAAAGAACCTGCGCAGCACTTTGCAGCAACGCGGTCTTCGGGCACAGGCGGCGGAACAATCTTTCTCGGACAACCTGCTCAGTTGCAAAACAGCTCGCCTGACCAACCAATAAACTGCATGTACCTTCGTCCAACCGCCATTCAAGCTGCATCAGCTCGACAATCGCCATTCATCTAACCCTGACTTTCGCTATATTTCCACCATGCCACCACCCAACGACTACCTACCAGCAGCTACACCAACTGCCAGCTGAATGCAACTCCTTCCAATTCCACCACGTCAAACTACATGCTCAAACCTGCTCCACCTGTCAATGCCTCCACTGGTCCACTGCTGGTCTCATCACGCAGCCTTTGTCTGTCATCGTGCTGGCAGGAAAACCCAAACCTCACGATGGAAAGGGTGACTGAGCACGAACAAATGCCCATCAGCGCCTGATGAAAGAACCTGCGCAGCACTTTGCAGCAACGCGGTCTTCGGGCACAGGCGGCGGCACAATCTTTCTCGGACAACCTGCTCAGTTGCAAAACAGCTCGCCTGACCAGGCGACAAACTGCAAATACCTTTGTCCAACCCCCATTCAAGCTGCATCAGCTCGACAATCGCCATTCATCTAACCCTGACTTTCGCTATATTTCCACCATGCCACCACCCAACGACTACCTACCAGCAGCTACACCAACTGCCAGCTGAATGCAACTCCTTCCAATTCCACCACGTCAAACTACATGCTCAAACCTGCTCCACCTGTCAATGACTCCACTGGTCGACTGCTCGTCTAATCACGCAGCCTTCGTCTGTCATCGTGCTGGTAGGAAACCCCAAACCTTACGATGGAAAGGGGTGACGGAGCACAAACAAATGCCCACGAGCACCTGATGAAAGAACCTGCACAGCACTTTGCAGCAACGCGGTCTTCGGGCACAGGCGGCGGCACAATCTTTCTCGGACAACCTGCTCAGTTGCAAAACAGCTCGCCTGACCAACCAATAAACTGCATGTACCTTCGTCCAACCGCCATTCAACCTGCATCAGCTCGACATTTGCCATTCATTTTCCCTTACTTTCGTCAATTTCCACCATGCCACCGCCCAGCGGCTACCTACCAGCAGTTACATCAACTGCCAGCTGAATGCAACTCCTTCCAATTCCACCACGTCCAACTACATGCTCAAACCTGCTCCACCTGTCAATGACTCCACTGGTCCACTGCTGGTCTCATCATGCAGCCTTCGTCTGTCATCGTGCTGGCAGGAAACCCCAAACCTCACGATGGAAAGGGTGACGGAGCACGAACAAATGCCCATCAGCGCCTGATGAAAGAACCTGCGCCGCACTTTGCAGCAACGCGGTCTTCGGGCACAGGCGGCGGTAATTTATGTCTCGGATAACTTTTTTTTTAGGGTAATAGTTGTTATGATTAAGCCTCCATCAAGTGAACTGTTTTCTTTACACACAAGCATGAATCTACCACCTGGTCAAGTCAGTCAATAACGACGCAATCACATGGCCACACATCGCTCGTTTCTCCTTTGCTTCGCTTTTGGCGAGTCAGCTGCGAAGCTAAACCTTGGCCAGTGTCCGTGTTCAACGCGCAAAGCAGATTTGGGGCCCGGACTCACACACAACTGGAAGATGGTCGCTGCCATGAATGCCTCGCTGGAGAACAGACACTCTCCTTCTCTTTCTCTGTCTTTCTCTATATGTCTATTTGCGACTTTGGCGGACCCTTGTCTTTCAAAAAACCGCCTCTTGAGCCCACCCCAAAAGCCAGAAAAGCATCTCAAAGGAGAGAACAAAAACACGCAAAAGAACTTCAAACCTCTAAGAAAGCCTGCCCGCAAATGCAGAAGGCAAAAGAAAGCAAAGCAAAAATTCAAAAGACCCCCAAACAAAACCTTGCCCGCAACATGCCTGTCAAAAGAAAGCCATCCTCCTCGACGTCTCTACGTCTCAAAGTCGCCGCTCCGAGACTCCGAGCTGCGGTTGGGGATGCCCAGCTGCAGTTGGCCTCGGACCCGCGGGGGTCGCCACGCGTCGTCCTCCGCGTGCTCCGCCAAACCCGGCGCCGGGGAGCCGCGGAAGCGCCAGCCGCCGGACCAGTACCCGTCGCCTCAGGCGCGAGGCCTAACCCTGGGGGGAAACCAAAAAGGGAAACACGCGCTTGTTGCTGTTGTCCTTTTTGCCGCTTTCTTGCGATCTTCGTTTTGAAGGGGGAAACCTTGTTTGGTGGTTTTGAAGGGGAAACAACATGAACCAACCCTTTCTCAAATTTCCCCCCTCTCTTGACACATGGTTTTTGGGGTGGGTGACAAGTGCGAGGGGCATATCGCCTGTTTGCTGGCTGGTTTGGATCGGGCGAAATTGGCGGCTCTATTTGGGAGCTGCCCTCACGTGCGGTTGCTCATCGCTCACAGCTTAGCTTGTGTATTTCAGTTAGAGCGGTGCAGATCAGCATCTGTTAGAAGTCATGCCAAGGTAGGCGCCAAAACGGAGGCATCACAAGTGCGTCACGGAAACACATTGGGTTCACCTCCAGATGGAAACCCAAAAAATGTCGGGGATTTTGATTTCCTTGCCAAACAAAGACACACCCACATGCAGAACTCCACCACTCTACGCGCCTGCGCTTCTCTGTCGCTTTGCCGGCCGCTCTGCAAGCTCCAGCTCCTGCCAACCAATGGTCTCAAAAGCTGGGGCTGGGCCACCCGTTCAACGCTTGAATCGCGGTCGGCTGCACCTCTTTGGGCTTCCTCAAAGGAGGTGAGCGTGTTTTGGTTGAACAGAACCTCCCTCGGATACACCCTATTTCCTCTGAGGGTCCTTGGACATGTGCGGTACCATCACCGGCTTCAGAAGCTCCAGGTCCCGATAGAAGACATAGTCGAGAACTTCATGGCGACCCTCCTAACATGAAACTTGATCAATATTCCAAGGGCCCCTGACCATGGGTAACTTGTCCCATGCGGGAAATATCGTCTTTTTGCTGGTCCAAGAATGGTCATCCGATGTGTTGGAGACCTGATCAACCCCCACATCCGGTCTCAAGCAAGCAACATAGAGCGACCGCTCGCGAGATGCGTCCTGCCAGTGCCAGTGATCTCCATCACCCTGGCCCTGACCGACACAAATCCAAGTGCCGCTCTCCGAGCAGTTCGCTCTCCCGGTCCTTGGGACGAGCGAAGTAATACACGTCCGGCTTCAGGGTGGTAAAGGCACCCTCTGCGTAGGCGCCGTCTGGCCCGAAGCTGGCATCGCACAAACACCTGCGCGCGCAAAACGAAAAGCAGAGCGAAGGCAAAAGCCTCGAGCTTGCACAAACAAGCAAAGGCCTCGATAGGATCTGGTAGGCCTCCGAGTCCGGCAACGCATTGAGGTCACCACACACCACCGCAGCTGGCCTTGGCTCCAGCCATGCGCGCGCAACGCTCTCGTCTCACGCTCAAAAACCCACACCTCTGGTAGTCAGCGGCCATGTCCTCCAGCAAGCCGAGCAGCTCCTTGCGCCCAGCGAGCAAGCGCCCGACTCTCGAGCGCCCTCGCGATTGCCCTCCTCAGCCTCAGACGCCTGGTGCCCTGCAGCCTGCGCGACGACCGGGTCTGATGAATGGCACGACTCAAGCGCCTGGTCCCAATGAAGATGGGTGGAGAGCACCAAGAGCTGCCGTTGTGAAGGCAAGTGCGTCAGCACCTGGCAGCTGCTCTCAGCCTCAACGCCTGCGACACCCGAAAAGCGACCGTGACTCCAGCCTGGCCGACGGCAATCCGGTCATTCGCAGGTCGCGCCTGTTTCAATCAAAAACAAATCTGCACATAGCTTAATGTGGGTGTGGCTGAAGATTCAATATCCAACCACAGGGAACCAGAGACTTGTGTGTCCTTGTTTCCATTTTCTAGGGTAAGCCATTTCGGAGTTGCCCCATTTTGACCCACACCCTGCGGTCAGAACGCCCGAGAGACGCCATCCCCTTGCCAAGAAGCGTATATCAGACCGCGGCATGGCCCGACCTGGAAGCTCAGCGCCACAAAAGCACCGCAAGCAGGTCCCTTGAGGCTGCGGCAGCGCCAAATACCTGCCAACCGCTGGCTTTTTTCGTGGCAATCGCAGGTTCCAGAGCAATCTCTTAAGAACAAACAGAAGAGGCAATGCAACTCAATCCGCTCACCGGCCAGGGGACGGTGTATGCTTTGGTGCTCGTCTGATGGATCCCAGCGCGCCGTGGCTGATGTGAACGCTGTGTTTGTAATTCAAGGTTGGAAAAACTGGGTCTAGGGCTATGGACCAACGGACACCTCTCAGTGGGAAGCGGGCTGCAAACCACTTTGAGGCCCTATGGAATTGCCACACACCCGCCGTGCGGGTAACAAAATCCTGGACCGATCGGAAAGTGTGTTTGTTCCCAGTATTCACAGGGCTTCGATTCCAGCCGCAGGAGTTTGTCCACAGAAGAAAAAAAGAGAAAAAAACTTGAGTTTGTCCCATTCGTTTTGCCTCCCGGCGCCAGAAGATGCCGCAGCCATCCTGCTTGCCCGGGCGGGGCTGGAAGACCGCCTGAGCACTCCACTTCCACAATTTGAACCCGCTGCAAAAATATGTTGTCGCTCAAAAAGTGGCACCAAAATGGCACCCTGGTAAATGGAACCAAAGACTAAAACCCGCGTAACCCCAGCTCTTTGATTTTGAGCCATACCCAAATATGTTCTTGGGCGTCCCGCGTCATAGCCCTCCCTGCCGAGGATGTCTTGGAACCTGAGTCTTCCACAAAAAAATCCTCGCGGAACCTTCGCGGAACCGGGGGAGTTTCGTGAGTCCTCGGCCCAACTGGACCCACTCGCGGCTTGGATCCCGGCTCGGTGAAACAATCCAACTCCACGAGGCAAAGTATGTCCGCGCCTGGAACTGGTCCGACCTTCTTGGGTTTGTGAAGGGAAAGGAAACACCCCCCCCCAATTGAGGGGATTTTCGGGCTCAATTTGGAGAGACACTCGGCTTGGCAGCCCACGAAGCGCACGGATCTCTTTGATGAGGACCTGCAAGCTTCAAGCCTCTAAGAAGGAATGCACGAAGTCCTTGCCTGCAACCGGTAGAACCTTGATCTCCTCACAAAGCAAATGAACAGACAAAACACTGGATCTAGCATCTTGATTTATGCAGGCAATTTGTTGGATGCGGACTCCAGCTTGCAAAGGACTGAGTTTTACGCCCTTGCTCTGGCGACCACATCAACGAGCGAGGGAAGCCTGCTGCCTGGGCAAGAAACATGCGCCTTGCCCCCTGCCAACACCAACTTCGCTATCTTCGCCCAAGCGGCCCTTGACCAGTCCCAGTGCTTATTGGAAAACCACGGCGGCAAGAAATCCCTGGCATAGTGAAACCTGTCAAGTCCATTTAGACAAGGCAGATGGACAACAATGGCACCGGAGGGAACAATGATATGGTGTCTGCAAAACAACACACAAGTAGCTGGCAAGACCACATCGTGCCGGCCATGTTCTTACCTGGCAAGTCAGAATGTCGAATCCTTTTCGCGCAGCATCCTGACCTGCAGGTGGTTTGTTTGTATTGTCGGCGGAAAAATTCAGCCGGCGTGCCCAGGATGTTGAAGTGGGCAATGCGAAACCTGAACGAAAGCAAAGTCAAGGCAGTGGCCCTGGTCCAGGTTTTCAAGCAGAAGTAAGCCAACGAATCTGAAAGACGCATGTTTCGAATAGAAGAAACGACTGATGCATGACTCTTAATGTTTGTGATTGCTTGCAGGCTTGGTTCCGATGGACTTCAACGCATTCCTCGGGCAAAGGCGACATGGCTTCACCAACGCCATGTAGCTGGATCTGTCCGTGTGGGGTCTTACTATACAATTACATAACTTTGACCAGTTAGATTGATACAAATGTGCAAAAACTGGTGGTCATTGCCAAAAAGAAAGTGGGTGAGGCGCTAAGGATCGCTGTCAAAAGGTCGTCCGCAAACAACCATTGTGAGGCTGAAAGGCTAAGAGGCCGCGCAGCTGCCTTAACGAAAAGGAGGAGTTTACTACCAACGTGGCAAACTCTGCAAGCACCAAGGGACCACATTGAGTGTCAATGAGCAAATATTTTCGCTGATTGGTGTAGCCCACTGTCAGCCTCATCATGTCAGCGTTGGCCACAACTGACCGTGGCTTTGGCAAAGCTTTTGCTGAAACTGAAACAACAACAGGCCTGGACTTGTTGCATGCGGCTCTGCGGGAGCTGATCGCACGTGTTCCACAGGACGCGCCAGAGTCTATCGCCCCGTGCTGGATCTACACGCCGTCGACTTGGTGGTGCGTACGGTCGTGCGTGGCACGCAGCTCTTTGGTTTTCTGCGCCCCACGCATTATGGGCGTGTTGGTCAGCGGTCGAAGAACCTGCGCAAGCTAATTGAGACCGTGAATGAGGTCCTGAGAGCAGGGAACACGGGAGGAAAATGTTGTTGCCTGCCCGCAAAGCCCTACAAACAAAGCGCAGGGAACCAGGGCCACCCACCTACTTTGAACAGCAGGTCGGCCACGCCCTTTCACCGCCTGCTGCCTCTCCTGCCGCCTTTTTCAAATTTGTCCGCCATCCACTCGCGGTTGAAAAACAAATCGGAGAAAAAAGAAAAGCTGCTTGCTTTGTTTCTTGTCTCGGTGCTGAAGCTACGGACGTATGTGATTGCAAATGACCGCGTGATGAAAGAAATTCTCACATGTCAACAACAAATTTTGAAGCCCTGGCAAAGTGAAGCGCTTGACGTTGCGCGACTGCGGCCTCCAGGTGGCCGTTGAGAATCGCCGCGGAAAGCACGCAAAGACAAGGACAGCGCAAGACAGCGAAGCAAGGCTCAAATCTGACCGAGCGGTCCGAACCCAGACTTTTTTGCTACTTGCTGCGGGCCCGACATGGAAACAACAAAGGGAGTCTTGCTTCAGAACAGCCACAAGTTAAAGAGTGTGTTTGTTTTGTTTTGTTTTGTTGTTTTATTGTTTTTTTGTTTTGGTGATGTCTCCATGGTTCATTTCTCTTGCTGCGTTTTGACGCTGAAACTGCAGACCTGCGCACTCGCGAATGGCCGCGTGGAACACAAAAATGTCACAGCGGTCGAAAAGAGAAAAACATTGTTTCCTGATTCCTCTGACACAATTTGACCTCTTTGGAACAGATGAGTTCGAATGGAAAGAGCGTGAAAAATGTCAAACAAATGTAATGCGCAATAGTCGAGTCGGCCACAGTTAATTGCACCGCTCAAACAATGACCTTCGACCTTGAGTAGGGCACCAGGCTCACATTACGGAGGCAAAAGCAGAAAGCCGTCAACAGAGAGCTCGTGCTTGGCCAGCAGAAGCCCGAGATCAAACGGTTAATGAAAAGCACATACTATGCTGGAATTTAGGCAGCCAGACACAAAGGTTCTGACCTTGGTAACTTAAGGTGGACTTCGGGAAAAAAACACACACACACACACACACACACACACACACACACACACTTAAACTCCAAATGGAGGGTTCTCATCTTTCGAGTACAACTGATGAGTCGCCTGCTTTGACTGCGCACGAGCGCCTTCTCGCCGCCGTGAGCGCGGCTGACGCACTGCCGAGAGGCACCACCTTTGAGAAGGTCCTGAGCCCGCTCCTGCTGAGGCGCCCATCAAAACTGAGCCCGAGCCCGGTTTTGCTGAGGCGCCCATCGCCACGACTCCTGCCATGAGCAGCGCGCCTCTTCGCGCCATCCAGAATCTCCGGCATACGATGGCCACAGCGCCAACGCCGGGCAATTGCGAGATGTACAGATTATTTCGGCGCATGGGCAGCACCATAAGCAGTGTTGACCTACATGTCGAGGATCTTCAGATCATCCGGCAGGAACTGCAAAAGTTTTACGAGTTCATGGAGTTTCGTCAAAAACGAAATATCTGTCCTTGGCTTGTCCGCGACTCGGTGAGCATAGGCATATTTTGCCTCACTGATTTATTGGCCGAAGTGCAAGCGAGGATGCGCAACGCCTCGCTTGCCCGCGGCAAGAAGCGCAAGGACGAGCCTGCAGCGTAGCTTTTCGGGCGAACACGTGGCACAGAGAGAAAAAAGATCGTGATTGCGCGCTGCGTCGTTTGGCAACACCCGAAACTGACTCACCCGACTCCGCCCTGCCCCCCAGCCCGCGCAGCACTGATTTTTTCCTTTGTTTTTGCGCCAAAAAGGGGCTCCAGAGTCCGGGAATTCCCCTCACCCTGAAGAACGCCTCGAAACGGTTTTTTCCCCAAAAAGGAGCTGAGCAGGATCAGTCAATTCCGACGGAGCCTGCGCAATGCCTAACAGCCAGTTTTTTCGCTCGACCAGGATGGCTGAGCCTGATCACTGAGCAAGGTTCCTCTAGAACGCCGGCGAAGGCAGCGCCAGCTTCAGCAGGGTCTCCCGGCCCTCCGCGCTCCGAACGGTCATGGAGTCCACGGCCCGCAGCTGCTGCACGTCGCCGTACTGAGGGTTGAAGCTCCTCGCCGCGTTCGTCGGCGCTCGGAAAGCGCCCGCGTCCTCCACCGCCTGATGCGCCGGTCTGTGAGGTCCTTGTTGCGCTGGAACTTGTCGGCGTTGTCCTGCAGCAGCCGGAACTCGGTGGCCAGCTGCTTCTCCACATCCTCGGGCGCGCCGTAAGTAGTAAGGAACATAGGCTTATAGGGACCTAATTATTTTAGTTTTGGGTCGAAAAACCCTGCAAAACAGCCAAATTCTCCATCCTGCTGAACGTTTTTCCGATGTCACCGGTCTTTGTCACCACTCCGTTTTTGGTCGAAAAAGTGCTCAAAACCCGAATTCCCGAAAAGTTCGTTTTTTCCTGTCAGACTGCAAGTGGGGTGCCTCAGCCTCTAGATTCGCTCGGTTTCGACCGTAAACAGGCTCCAGACGCTCACTCTGCTCTCAATTCCGTTTTCAGCCCGGACAAGCTGGCAAGTTCCATCCCGCTGAGCTTGTCACCACTTGTCACCGCTTCGTCACCGCTCTCTTTTTGGCCGAAATTTGCGCAAAAACGGCCAAGTTCCCGACTTCCCGAAGACTTCGTTCTTCACAGGATTTTCCGTTTTTCGTCCAAGCACGACAGCCTGCCGAGGTCCTCGCTTGTGACCCGGCAACCTGCCGAACTTGTCGCCGCCTTTGTCACCGGGTCTAACGCGCCAGCCTGCCGAACGCCCAGAGGTCCTCCGACAACCTGCCGAACTTGTCACCGGGTCTAACGCGCCAACCTGCCGAACGCGCAGAGGGCTCGAAAATCTTGGCAAGTTTGAATCAATATTGAATCGGCTTGAAACAATATTGGTTCATTATACCTGGTGCCCTTAAGCAGCTTGAGTCTCTCAAAAATACTTACCAAAGGAACCCTGAGCGCAAGCACTCCTTTTCAGCACACGGGGTAGAGCATCAAAGGTAAGGAAAGGTCCTTCTTAGAGAAAGGGGGGGCCCCCAAAAGAGAAAAGGGGTTCACACCCGGGGTGAGGGCAGGCAAGCGCCCCGCCCGAACCTATACTGAAAGGTAAGGCACGCGGTGTGGCAGGCGTAGCCAATAAGCCACTTGGTGTGGCAGGCACAGCCACTCACTCGTCCAACCTGGGTGGGTGGGTGGGAGAAAATCTAAGGCCCTGAAATTGGAAGGAAAGGAAAGGTTTGAGCCTCAAGCTGCAACTCAACAGTTAAGGGCACCATTATAACGCAGCGAGTGCAAGCACTAGCAATCCTTATACCTGGTGCCCTTAAGCAGCTTGAGTCTCTCAAAAATACTTACCAAAGGAACCCTGAGCGCAAGCACTCCTTTTCAGCACACGGGGTAGAGCATCAAAGGTAAGGAAAGGTCCTTCTTAGAGAAAGGGGGGACCCCCAAAAGAGAAAAGGGGTTCACACCCGGAAAGAGGGGGTCCCCCAAGAAGGCCACAGGGGGTGAGGGCAGGCAAGCGCCCCATGTCGAGAACTCGCACGCACCCCCTGTAAACTGAGTGCTCGACCGTGTGTAGCAACCTGAGGCGGCGCGGCACAAGCGGACTGAAGTGGCAACGAATACACGTGAAGAAAGGTATGAATGGGCAGTATGTGCACTACATGAGTAGGAAACGAAAAGGTACAAGAGCAAGCAAAGTTTACAGCTGCAGCTCGCTCCAAAGACTGTTCCAAATGGTTGGTGTAACATGGGACTTCTGGGATCCAAAGGAAAGTAACTGCATTCACCTCGGTAGGGACCCGGTGGATCCACGGATCGAAGGTCATCCGTTGCTCAAGGCGTAGGAAGTGTTGGACAAGCTGGTCGGCCGCATGGTTGTCGCAGGACATGCGAACAAGAGAATGAAGCGCAGCTTCGTTGGGAAGGATCTCGAGGTGCAAAATGCAGTGAGATCCAAAGGTCGCAAGAACTGAAAGAGCCGGGGGCTCAAAAGAGAAGTGAAAGCGGGGTTGCCCAAAGAAGTCCACGAGGACGCCTCCTATGAAGGGCTTGGAAGCCTCCAAGGCACCATCTGTGAAAATATGCCAAACGAGGCGGTCCTTGCTGCTGACTGCTCTTGGCATGGAATGGACAAGAGACTGCAAACAGCGCTGCAAAATCCTCACAAGTGATGGAGGGGCTCGAGAGCCCGGTGCCAGGGCAGAAAGCTCATGCAAAGATGAGAGGCATCGCGAGTGGTATCGTCCCGATAATTGACCATGGGCAAACTGCATGCGGGCGAGCCTCCTTGGGTGAGAGGGAATGGCTTGTCAAAAGCTCTTGCAAGCTAGAAGCCAGGAGTTGGATTCTGGCCTCGGTGTTTGCCACCCCGAAGACCCCGG